ATTTTGATTCTTTACACGTGTAATGATGTCCAATGACTTGTTTGCATTATTTATGCAATATTTTATTTGTAAGACTTTTTTATGACTAAATTTGGTAATGGGTGAGTAAAATTATTTTTAAAACATATACCGTTTAAACTAGGCTGCTTATGTTGCAGTGTTTGGGATGTGGTTTTTAATGATGAGACCTTTTTTGTAATCAGGCTCTCAAAAAGTATATAAAAATTTGGATATAGATTTATTGGCCAACATATCGGTTATCGGCTTTCAAAAATAAAGAATTATCGGTATCGGCCAAAATTTTCATATCGGTGCATCCCTAATATTATACTTAGCTTTTTTTGTTTTCTGATCGCAAATGTAGCCAAACTTTGGAGCGCTTAGATTAGCGAGCAAGGTCCTGGCAGATCGCTAGGTCCGGTCCTCACAGATGAAGAAAAAAAAAGTGCATAGGAATCGATAGGCAGAATCGATAGGCGGAATCGAAATTTTAATTTGACAACAAGTATCCGATTCCCGACCTTAATTATCCAATTCTGGAATCGGAATCGATTTTCGATTCCCAACCATAGAGATTGGCATCACATAAAAAGTGAATTGGTATAGATATTGTTCCTTTGGAAAAAAACAGGTTAAAGTATTGTTCTTGGTTCAAAAAGAATGTTTTGATAGCACTACACAACCACAGTGTTTAAAATTTATGGTAAAATCACCCCACAAATGACTTGCTTAGAGTTGACTTTGAACATTAAGATGGGATCGAAAAAAGTATTTTAATCCCAAAAATATTTGTATCCAAAAATGTACACACTTAAATTTTAAATGACTGTTTGGAAACTTACAGTAACCATTTTATCATATTTATGACAGAATTTCTCTCATTGTTTTTCTCCTTCTGTGGACCCAACTGCTTTTAATTCAGCATCTAGCTGCCAATCATTCTTTTGAGGGGCGGCTTCCAGGGGTCAGTTGACACTTAAGGGTTCAAAGACCAGAGGAAGGAGAACTCAAGATTTTGATGGGTAGTCTACTAGGTGTGTTTTGGGGGAGAACACCTTATCTGTCTACTCACAGGAGAATATTCTTACCACACACGTGCATCACTATTTTATTTAAAACCAGAAGAAAATTAAGGATTACAAGGTCAAAAAAAAAGGAAACATATGCATATGAATTGTTCACAATCAGATCAAAAGTATACCATGAATTTCTATTTCATGGCAACTTTAAAAGTCCTAAAAGAACCATAAAACTTAAGCATTAACGATCTGGAATCATTGGGAGGAACCTACATCATTAAATTCTCAACGATTCTCATTATTAAACACTTGATAATATTCCCACTAACTCACTCCTTGACATTTATAAACACACATGTAAACAGATACATACATTTTTTTTCAGCATTTCTTGGGTACACTTTTACCATCCAAAATAACTCCGCCAACCCCGGTCTAAAATACGCCACTCATTCACTGCAACCTCACCAGTCACAAAGTACAAACACACACACAAGGCCATTTTTCTGTCTGCTTGGTCTCCTGTGCGTCCTGGATGTGAATAGGTACTTCATTAATTTCATCTGTTCGAAGTTGAAGCCCAGAGAGCCATTACACCAATAACTCTACACATTAATCTCCCTTCTAGACTCCGTTATTATACACCACTGCCACGACTTACCCAAACACACACACATTCCCATTCATCTCCACTCAACCTGTGGGCAGAAATATCATGGCTCATCCTCTATGTTTCGCCCAGATCTATTACAAAACACTGGACCTGTTTAAATGAGACCCCAGTAGAGGCTCAGTTCAACTGCAGGGGCGCCATCTTGGCTTGGGGAGTCTGGGTTAAAGCCTCACCGTGTCCCAGAGCAGTGCTGTGTTGGCTCGACTCTGCTGTGGCAGTTTCCTGTAGCTCACGGAGGTCTGGGTTTTAGAACAGGCATGTGCTGCCCTGTAGAGCCAATTTCTCAGTCAGGCTAAACCCAAAGTGTTTAAATGAGAGCGAGATGAGAGGAACTGGACTTTTTGGCTGTGCCAAGGCAAGGCGAGGATATGCGGTTGTAAAATTAACATTAGCTTGTGAATGAGCACTGAGGGCACTACTTTAGAGGGCAGGCAATGATAATTTAACATGTATGTTTATAGAGTTTGGAAGCACTACCAGTGTTACTCTTTGAAGACACCACTTAAAACTCTTACAATTTCTTTATCATAAATGTAGATGGTTAAGTTAAGATGGCAAGTTACAAAATTTAAAAAGGGGAAAAAAGCTAAAAATTATTACCTGCCAAATAATGTTGAAAACAAATCATTTTTTATTATTATTATAAATGAATATTTACAAACAAGTTTCTTATTTCTGATTTTATTTACAACAACAACAATAATAAAAATAATAAACATGTACAAAAAATGTAAACCTGCTAAATAATGCAGAAAACGTAATAATACATTTTTAATAACTTAAAAAATAATAACATTATTTTTAATAACATGAATAGAAAACTGCATTTATACAAATACATAATGATAATAATATTAATAATAATACATGCAAAAAATAAATAAATAATAATGCCTCCCAAATAATGCAGAAACAAACAAACTGGCAGGAACAACATGTTATAATAATAATAATAATAATAATAGATGTAAAACTAATAAAAGTGATTTTAAAAAGACATTGAAAAAAAAGCAAAAAAATTCAACAAAATGGTTTTCAAAATAAACAAAGAACAAGGTGATCGATAATATTAATAATGATAATAATAATAATATTATTATTATTATTAACAATAATAGCTGTAAAAATAATAAAATTGGGGGGGGGGGCAGAAATTACCAAAACAAACCAAACCAGCAACAACAATTTTAAAATAAAAGCCAAAGAACATTTGCCACAATGACTGGCGATTTGCTCATTATACTCCTTACTACTTGACTAACTTTCAAATAATTAATAAATGAACATAAAATATTGATATAAATTGAAATTATTTCATTGTATGATTAAATAAATGACCATGGAGTGATGCAGAAGACATGAAACAGGCACAATTTCAGAAATTGGTTGTCAGGAACAAGAGTCACTATATAAAAGCATCTGAACACAGAATGCAATGAAGCACCAATCCAAAATCAAGTATTCAAGTAACCAGAATAAAGTGTGTGCAATGAATCAATGTAACTCCTACTGAATCTTTTGCTAGACAGTGAAAGTGCAAATGTACCAAAATCTCTGGTAAGTTTAGCTGGTAAAATAAATTCTGGCATTTAAAATGGCACAGTCCTAAAGAAAAGTCCAGAAGACCATTCCTCTGAGCCCAAATGACCTCACATGTGTATTTTCCTCTCTAACATTTTATTTTTATATTTAATAATCACATAAAAAAGCTTAGTGTGGTGAACCAGTCTTATGAGGTTACAGGGCCGGAGAATCTCAAAACGGCCTCTTTAATTCCATTCCTCACTCAGTGGGTCACGCTCAATTTTTCCCAATAGAATCGTGGCCAGCCAAATCACAGCTTCTCATCTTATCATCCTCCAAGACCGCTGCCAAATAATCACAAGGCCCCTTTAAAAGTGTTTATTTATTTGTTTGTGACGTTCTGGAGTTCAGAAGAACTATAATTCACTCTTGTTATAGATGCATACTGGAATAATACGCTGTTAAACTATTAAAGAAACTCCCACCACAACACACACAGGATACTTTCTGTGGTTAAAATGTATCAAGGGTCTGAATGACAATAAAAAGCAGCTTCAGATTAGTGGGGACTAGGGGAAGAGGGAGAAGTCCTGCAAAGATTTTCCATTATCAAAAAGATTTACAACTTCAGTCTATCAGTAGAACAGAAGAGAGACAGAGTCAGATGGTGGACATGGTGAAAGAACTATTTAAAGACTGACGGAAAGAAAAAATGCTTACGGTCTTATAAAGCGGTTCCTTTATCCACACACAATAATGCATCAAAACACATTCATATATGGGTGCCACAGGCCACAGGGTGGGAGATGGGGGTGCAGCTGGCTCTCTCTCATTAGCCGAGTGTTTGGATCAGGAGTAGCTCTTGTTACAGCAGTAAACTGCAGCTTTGAACTTTTAATAGAGCTTTGAAATACAAGCAGCCCTTAAAATACACATTTCTGCATAACAGAGCAAGACTGAAAGAAAGACTGAGAGTACGAGGGTGAGAGAGATGCTGAAAGCACAAGGGAGAACTAAACATACGAGAAACAGAAAGCTGAGAGCTTACTAAAAGAGATTTCATAGATCTTAAACCACTTGACTACTCTTAATAGCACTTCATTTTGCATCAGCGGTCTGCTCAGCAGTGGCCCTCGATAGCAAGCCCTGTGGGTCAGAACCAAAGGTGAGGCATTAACAAACCAGTTCTAATGAGGCACAACTGGATAAACAATCATATTTATCATGATTGACAGGTCGACATGATTGACGTGATACTGCGAAACACGCAACAGTATTACGTTTCTTTCAATTTACATACTGACAAGCAAAACAAGTGGTAAAAATAAAAGAATAAAAAGAGCATATTTCAAATCTCCTGCATGCTTATTCTGAAAAACCAAAGAAAATAATTTCCCAGCTTTAGTATGAATCAAGTTGTTTCACTGTATAACAATTCTACAAACCCGTTTAGGGGTAAAAACCTATAAGTAAAACTTTTTTTTAAAAATGGGGAGGGAAATTCCTTTTTATAATGTGGTGTATAAACTGACAATATGTTAATAACTTCAACATGTACCCTTGTGAACAAATGTTATGTAGAACAATATAGGACTTTGATCTGAATTTGATATTCTAGGTAATATGTCTATCACAAAGTTTAATGTATATGTAAACTGTCATTCACATTTCTGAATATGTAAACAAGAAGCAGAGTAATAACTGAGTGAAAATTGAGATTTTGTATATAAAATTTGACCAAATGACATGCAACACTGAAACGTGCATGACTTTGTTTATTTGAGCTAATATGTATTTACAGGCCATAGGGAAAAAAAACACGAGCTCCAAATGTTGTGAACTGCAAGCAGAACTTTTATTAAATTTATTTTTTAACTTATAAACTGCTAAAAAATATTTTTCAAAGTGAAGTTTTAAAAGAAAATTTCAGTCTTGAAATTAGCATTTTTCCATGCAAATAGTAATGGCATTTACAAGCAAATTTCTGAGATTTATTACACAAGAAATTTAGAACATTTTTACACCAATTTACTTTTTTTTTTTAAATGTATTGCTTTATTTGTTGAAACTTATCTGTCTAAAACACTAAAACACAAAATATGCATCTTATGCATACCACTAAAATGCTTTAGCTTAATTTGAAACTGTCCAAACAAGCAGAATTTTAGAGCCTCCCAATGTGACTGACATATCCGAATTAAACTGGAGCGCCACAGGGCTAACACATGGGAAAAGACACACAAATACATATACATTCATGCCCTCGGGCAGACTCGGCACCCCCTCTCCCCGCTGTAGTCTCTAATCATGTCCAGGAACACGAAAGACAAGTCAAAAAGCATTTTCCCAGAGTTCACAGCAAGCGGGCACTTTGGAGACCAACCACTGCCAATCAATGAGAGAGAGGTCAGGTGGACAGCGGTGTCACATCACATCACAGACAGGTGGACTACGCAGGTAATCTCTGATGAAAATTAAATTACTGAAACTATTTCTTGGTGAATTTATGTAGCTTTGTAGTATTATAAATGGGGGAAAGAGGCCAGTGTATCGCATTTAACACCAAAATAAATGCAATGCAATACAATAAAATAAATCTTAATGTTAAAATGTTAAGTAATGTACTGTATTAAAATGTTAAAGCCCTTAAATAGATCAGATTCACTGCGGCTGACACAGAGGTCATTTCTTTTAACTCCATGTAGGCCACAGAGAGAGAGGGATAAAGAGTTTATGTTATTTTTCATTTCCTGGGAATTGGCCTTGTTTCCACAGCTCGACTGCTGCGCTTCCGTACGCAACTTATCGGATTGCTTATCAGTCCGTTTGAAGCGCTCAGTGTCTCCAAACCCCACTCCTACACCCACGATCCCAGCTTGAACATTAAATATTCCTTCCTTCAACAGAATGGCGGCGGTCCAGAGTCAGAGCCCACACGGCTAAGCAAATAAAAGAAGCCATTGCATGTATCTTGGCAAAGACACATCATCAGATAAACAGTTTCAAAAAGCTAACATAGAACTATGCGCAACCCGAGACAATATCAACAAATACGTCCTGCGCATTTTCAGAGCGAGATTAGACAGAGGACTTTACGGTTTAATACAAACAAACAGACGGGACTTCAGTGGCCATGCATGCATCGAATCTGCCTTTATTTCTTTCTAATATGTACAATAATAATCAGAATATAACAATAATAATATTCTATTATTTTTGATGTCACATTAAAATATATTAAAAAAGCTTTTAATAATACAAACATTTATGAAATATCATATGTTTTCAATTAGTGTATTGGGATGAACTATGTTTTGAATTGGGTAAACTATTAAAGGTTGGCGTCTGATTTGGAAATCAGTAAATAAGTTTGGTTATAAAACAAACAAAACTTATAAGCAATTACAATGTTTTAAAATAGCATGTCTAATATTTACTTGATCCTTGAAAAACACAAAATTAATAATGAAATAAATGTGTTAAGAGATACACTGCTATTTCTGCTATTAAGCACTGCTGTTTTCAATACTGTTATAACTAAAATTACTACAAAAATATTTAAGATTTTTGTATACTAAACAGGTCAGCCTAAATATATTGACTTTATTTGTATTGTCCTGTGTATACCTAAATAATAATAGCAATAATCATAATTATTATTATTACTGGTATTATTATTTTGCTATAAACAGGACAATATTATTATCGGTATGCATTAATTTTCCTATGGTAATATCACATACGAAGCCTTTGCTATTTACACATCTAAATTATAAATACTTCAAATATTTTTAATAAAATAGTGCTTTGGAATTTACTCATTTGTACGTAACAAAATTAGGTCTACCGTATTTTCTGATAAAAAATGTACTTGTTTTGTCAAACGATCTATGCAAAATGTGTCCGTCTATAAATACAGTCATGGCTTGCGGTCTTCAGCTCTTTAAACCAGTCTGTTGATCTGTGCTGCCCTCTGCTGGGCACTTCTCAACAATAATTTGCTTTCAAACTCTGCAAGAGTAAAATGAAGCATATTTTAAACTATTTGAACGAGTCTAACTATCTGAAATGTACAGACTGAAATACGTTCTTGCTAAAACTTACCAACATTTCAGATATTGCTGCTGTGACTACAACAACAACATCATTTCCCGCCATGCACTGGACACGTTGCCATAGCGCCACGTTGGTTTACCAACAAACATGGCGCACAGCCCGTCTCGTGTCTTTGCTACAGTTTCACCGAATGCTGGTGATGTTTACCGAGACGAAAACGAATCGGTGTTTAAACGGGGACGCAAGCAAACACCTTTACACGCTCAAAGCAACGCAAGAGTGGTTCAGATGACGGGCTGTGCGGAGTTATCGTGTCCTCCGGACCGCGCCACCGTCACCATCAGCGTCAAAAACAGTAAAGAAAATGTTAACGACGTGACTAACAGCGTTACCCGAAGACTGGAGTACATACTACAGACTATGAGACAGCATGATGTCAAGGTGCTAAATAATTCAAATGTGTGTATTCCCAAACAAAGAGAGAACAAGCAATTCTAATAGTTTCTTTCCAAACAGGAAGAAAACATCACTGTGGCCAAGCATTTACAAAGAGAGGAAGAGCTCTTCCACATGCAAGCTGAGGTATATAGTTAGTTGTTGCATGTGTCCTGTTTGACCTATTTTATAATACATTTACTCTTTAATTATCCATTTTGTCTGTGCAGGTGCTTGTGGTGTTTTCAGACTTTGAGAAGATGCAACAAGCACGCTCAGTTTTGATTGAAAAACTTGACAAAATCGTGTGTGTTGGTGACCCTTACTACAGTCACAGTGCGGAAAGTCTCAGTTTGTTAAGGTGAACAATGCTTGAACGATGTCGGCCATCATATAAACCTCCACTGTTAGCCTGAACATAGCTTTGTTATATAGAATTAATTAATAAGCCTGTTTGAAAGGATGTCTAAACATTTTTTGGTCTGTTCTGCAGACGGCGAGTATGTTTGGAAGCTGTGGACAACGCCCGGCTAAAAGCCAGCGAGGCGTGTTGCATTCTGGGACAAGCTCTGGGACGGCCGCTGCTTGTACGCGAGGAGGAATCACGAGAGTGGACCAGCGGCCAGCATGAAGTGACTGGCTCTCCTCTAACACTACACCAGAAGACTGGGGTTACATTAGTCTCTGCCTCTTCACACGTGTTTATGACCTTTGAATTGCGTCCGAAGGAAAGCAACAGGAGGAAATTTTGAAAATGTTGTGTCTGTTTAGCGGTAATAATGGTACATGTAATTCCTTTTATTTGCTGTTTTAACCTGTAAACACATATTCCTGTGAAGTAAGCACCATAGAGGACCACCGATATTCACAAAAGGGCCTAAAAATAAAGTTACCACTTGTTCCTACTGTTGTTTTAACTTAAAAAAGTCTCCAAATTCCAGAATATATTGAATAGCACTGTGTGCAACTCAAAAGATAATGCTAAAATTTGTTTCAAACATTGATAGAAAACCACGTTAAATTCAGAAAAAAAGTGTAATGAAATAGTTAAGATGAGCCTGTGTTTGAATAGAGAAAGAATACATGTATATTGATGCATGAATGTGCCTTGCATGACATAATTATTTGTTTCTACAACAGCATATGTCTAGACAGGTGCTAGACAACTAGAAAGATCTTATTCACTGCCTCTAACATGATTTGTCTCTAAACTTAAACTTGCACTGGATGTAGGGGAAAATGTACAATAGTGTGAAATATGCTACTTGTTTCTGTGATGCTACACCCATTTTTATATTCTTACACTTGCTTTGTCAGATGATCTATCTTGACACTAAACAGGCCATTCATATACCCTGCTCTGCCTCATTTAAAATATAAAGGTGAGTGTTTACCACCTGCCCTGGTAATAGATGTCAATTCTTGCATGACCTAAGCAGATTAATTTAGGCTTTGTGAAAATCCATTAGGAGGAAAATCTAGGAAAACACTGAAGGGTTTGACGCAGCAGCTACTTTTGTAGATAGACAAGGAAATAAACTAAAAGCAAAGAGGACTGTATAAACAGAACAGCCTGATGATCATAAACAACTAGAGGGGACATGAGAGACAGACTGTATCATACAGTCAGGTCTTAAGTCTGATTTAAATTAAATTAAGAAACATGGCGTCAAAGTGGATGTCTAAGTAACTTGATTAATTTAGCCTAAAAGACAGCAAGCAAGCAATAAATAAATAAATAAACCATTAAAAACACAATCGGTGGGGAAAGACCACAAACATGAGCACAAAACAATAATAATGATTACAAGCATCTCTAGACAGACGATATTGGGTAGTGAAAAAAAATAATCAAAGACTGAAAATCATAAAGAGAGAACGGGGTTTAAAACACAACATAAGCCACATGCAAACTGTCAAAAGAGTCAAATGTAAAAAAAAAGCCCAAGGATGCCTACAAGTATGCCGTTTCTGCACCGCTACTGTCATCTAGTGGAACTACAAAAATAACGGCATGTTTTCAAACAACCTTTCCAAACGCCACTTTCACGTGTCATGCCTTCCCTAACTTAAACATTACAAACACATCTCTTACATGTGTTTAAAAGCGAAGGTATGTGTCAACAGGTATAAATAGGCAGCTACTTTCAATAAAAGGTCCAACATATTAATTAGGAATACTTAAGTTTAGCTTACCTGTCGAAAATATATTCCGTAAATTCGTCTTGTGGCAAACACTCCATCAAATTCCTCCATCTTGTAAAATCACTGCCAGTGTTTACACTTGTTTTACCGCGTTTACTTCTTGTCTGCCAACGTGTATTTTGGTAAGTTTCCGAAGTTTGCTTGCACTTCTACAACCTAATCCAAAGTGCGCAAATGTCGCCCTATAACAGACTGAACACCCTCCGGCTCAGCCTACTACTGTAGCCACGCCCCGAACTCTCGCTATTGGCTGTGCGGAGATACATAGGTTGACAGGCAGGTAGGACATCCTATCATCGGACGAACATTTTATGGCGAGATCTCCACAAAAGCAAAGCTAAATATTGACAAAGAACTATCTGCTGTTAATAAACAGTTTGAAAACAATACACGACCATAAGTACTACCACACTAGTTTCATGGCTATTTCTGGTCCATCACTCCAAAAACCTAATGCTTGAAGGAAAAGGGGGGGGGGGGGAAACAAGTCACATACCTGTCCTGCACCTGCCGAACACGTGACGCTGGCATGAGACATACCCAGATTTCATGTTCCTCCAAGAAGTTCACTTTATCATTTTTATCAGTCACTTTAGTTCCCAAACTCGTCGTTAATGTGGCTAAAACATGTGTTTTTTAAATTACTATTACTAAGATGTGTTTTTAGAGGAGGGTGGTTCCCAAGGCACTATGGGAATGGAAACATAGACGGATGCCTTTTAAGAAGGAAAGACACACCATTTCGAGCAGGCCTATTTTAAATAAATTAGGCTTTAATAAGAAATCATGTTTGTATTAATGGATTTACTTTGAACACTGTGTACCACATTCTCAATACTGTTTTAAACAACAAATTCTTCTGTTTTTCTCAGGCTAAAGCCTGTCCTATTAACTGAAAGTTAAGTTAATTAATTTTCTAGAACACATCTGAGTCAGATCAACATGTGTGGATTTTGATCTAATTGCATATTATAAAACATTTAATTTAATCTATAATTGATTTTTAACATCACAGTCATTTTCCTCACAACTTTATATCCTTTGCAAAGTGTGCAAGACATTTAAAATTATTCTAAAAATATAAAAGTGATATTAAATACAGCATTTTGTGTTCGTTGCCCCCCCAAACCCTTTAAAGCCCCCCATTGCGTTAAAATAACCTATACTGTCAATAAAGGGTTGTAGACATCATGCGTGTTTCCAAGCATTTCAAAGTGTTTTTAAAACCTCTCACAAGTTTTCACTCCTTCAGTCATGAGGATAGATTTCTTGCAACCATTCCTCCATAACAAACCTTTCCCCATCGAAGTGTGAAAAGTAGTGCTCTAGAGTAGGTATGTCCGGCTGTAGCACAAGACAGACACAAACACTGATTAAGATTGAATCTAAACAACCTTAAGAAACTATGAAGAAAACACAAATGTTAAAAGAAGGAAATAAAGGTAAAAGATTTCTCTGCACCTGAAAGTCTTGAAAGAGCTTGACATTATACTGGGGAATGTATCCAATCAGTATTGATGAAGAATCAGGTCCACTGAACATAATTCTGTAATGAGGAGTGTCCTTGGCTCTCTCCAGCTACACACAAATACACGTTTCAGGTTAGAACATTTACACTCTTAAAACTAAAGGTTCTATAGATTATTTTAATGCTTTTCACACTAAGAAAGGGGTTCTTTTAAAAACTAATCACTGAAAGGTTCTTTGGGGAACCCAAAACTGGTTCTTCTATGGCATCACTGTGAAAATCCACTTTTGGAACCTTTATTTTTAAGAGTGTATGACTTATTTCATTTAAATAAAAACAGTGTTTATTTATTTTACAAACCTCTGAGTCTGAATATTTCTTTCTCTTGATCCACTCTGGTGGGGCTCTGAGTCCTGCATCCCATCCCATGATCACCCCCACCATCTGATTCTGTGTCTCCATCACAACTTGACCTACACGGTGCAGCACATATGCCGGCCTGGGGCTTCGCACCTCCTTTGACACTGATCACATATAAATTAATAATCGTGTTCTGTTACAATACACATTCATATCCCAGACAAAGAAGGTTTCATATGATGTTGCTAAAAAGAACATTATTTTGTATATTTGGTGTAATGAAATGTGTTTATGAGGTTTAAGGTTAAAAAAACATTATTTTCCACATACTGTACATTATTATTTCTCCTCTATGCTCCGCCTTTCTGAAACACATTGATTACAAAGCTCATCGTTCTGAAAAGCGAGGTGTGCTCTGATTGGCCAGCTATCCAGTGCGTTGTGATTGGCCGAATACCTCAAGCGTGACGGAAATGTTACGGCCCTTACCATATTATGATGCCTTGTCCCGGCCGGAGCGAAGAGACAAAAACATTAAAACCCATTACAAACGAGGCATTTGTTGCATCCAGTGAGGACATAATTACGGATTATAATGACTTATTCTGTCTTTTTTAAACATAAACATTAAACATAAAACCATGTCTGCTTTTGTGATCGGAGAAATGACAAACAACAAGTGCTACTCTACTCTGCTCAAAACTCACGTTTGAATTGTCAGTGGCAAATTCTTTAAATATAAAAACATTCTTACAGTCTGTGAGTCAGAACAGCCGGCATTGTAGTCTACCCTCCCATGATCAGGAAACAGTCTTCTTGGCCCAAGGAAGGTATCCAGTGGTGGATGAAGGTTTCTTGTATGTTCGGTCTTTTCAGCGCGCAGAGTTATTCAGTTGAGGTTTAACTCAAATCTGACTCCATTTTAGTATGACCTCGAATTTAGGTTGAAAGGCAAATTGGTTGTTTGTTGGTCTCTGATTATTCTTACATTCGATTATTGTAACTAACTCTTTACTTTGTATTTTATTCGTTCATTAGGAATCTATGTATCACAAAAACTCGTCATTCTAATCCTTATTCAGAGGTGTGTGGCTAATAGCCCCCTACAGTTACCCATGTAATACTCAAACATTAATCAGCGGTTCTTCTAGAACCCCTTGTCTAGACCCCGATAGTTAGTATAACTACGTACAACTTAACGCTCCAAACATTAATCAGCGGTTTTTCTAGAACCCCTTGTCTAGACCCCGATAGTTAGTATAACTACGTACAACTTAATTAATGCTGAAACAATATGCATGGTTAACGTAACTGAGTACAACTTAAACTAAGGTCGAGCGGTTAGTCAGAAACCCATAATCTCACCTGATGCGCCCCATGCTTCATCTAATCTGAGATCTATTATGCACGTAACCCTGGTCGCAGTTTAGCGGAAACATACGCCTTCACTTAATCTACTTGAGGAAATCAATCTTCCCACATCGTGACGTAGACATGTGGGGACGTGTTTAAACGAGGCGTTTTAGGAGGGCGTGGACGAGTCTTAACTTTTATAAAGAATATCTCTTTGGGTTTGAGACTTTAGTCTTTGCAACTTTAGGGATCTTATCTATTCACAAACAGCTTGTAACACTCCAAAGAGAAAGGAAAACTTGAAATCGCATCATATGACCCCTTTAATGGCAGATCTAAATGACTGCTGTGAGATAATTCAGAGACATTACCTGCAAAGTATCCGTGCTCATTGTCATGCATCATCAGCTCAATCGCGAGCGCTTCCAGAGTTTGGTACTGCTCCTCTTCCTCTCCGAAGGACCTGTCATGTAACATGACATCCCACCTCAGCATCTGAGTGAATCAGAATTCTTTTAAAAAGAGATTAGCATAGACTTACGGTAGTTTGGGAATCCAGGTATTTAGCCAGCCAACCCAAGCAGCTGTGTTCAAGTAGGATTTTCTTATGGAGTCCCATGTGTCAAGGATTCTGAATATGAAAGTTGTAATGGGATATTTCAAGCAGTGACAACAGCCTCATACAGTGTCATGTGTTATAATTTGTAACTTTTTAAAATACATTTTCAATTATTGGAAATATTTCGACTTCTTACTAGAGAAACACAGTACCAGTCAAAAATTTGGACATGGTTTGTTTACCATGATCTTCAAAAAACAAACAAACGTTAGATTATAATAATACAAGAAACTTGTTTCCTAGACAAATATAAATTATGGCTATGTAGCAGTCATAGTTAATAGTTAGTAAATAGTGAGAATTATAGTAAATAGTGAGAACTAAAGTGTGACTTGTAGTTGGGGAATTAATTTAGTACCTGACAGGAGTGCTAAAGAAGCTGATTAAAAACACCCAACCACTAAACCTGAAATGCAGTCTCCATTCAATAATTTTTAATAAAAATTAATATTTTAGGCAAGATTTTATGCAATGCTGCATTTATTTTAAAATACTGTAAACTGTAATACTGTGGACTACCATTACAATTTAAGATGACTGGTTCCTATTTTAAAACATTTTAAAATGTAATAAATTACTGTGATGCCAAAGCTAAATTTTCAGCAGTAATTTCTCCAGTCTTTAGTGTCACATGCTCCTTCGGAAATCATTCTAATATGATGATTTGCTGCTCAAGATACATTTTATTACTATCAAAGTCGAAAACAGTTATGTTGATGATTATTTTGTGTACTGATACCTTTTTACAGGATTCTCTGATGAACATAAAGCTAAAAAGAAATGAAATAACTGCTACTTTTGATGAACTTATTGCATCCTTGCTAAATCATTTTTTTTCTTTTTCTTTTTAAGTCTTTTCAGTTGTAGTGCGTAAGAGAGGATAGAATGCAGTTTTTTCATATTAAATAGGCCTAGTCTCGTAGTGTATCAGACGTGTTTACCTCTGAGTGGCGATGTGTCGTTGTGTCTCGGTGCCGCTTGTCCACTTGGAGATGAGATACTGCGCAGGTAGAGCTGACAGCAGGAGCGCCAGCTGCATGATCACACCTGACGTGATGTGAGGCATCACTGCACGTACATTCAACATGACCGAGATTTCACATCAGCACATTGTTACTGTAGTTACTGTTACTGTTGTGTTTTTAAAAGTTGAAAGAAAATAAATATATAAAACATTGGTACACTCAATTTATTCTTCAATATTTCTTGAACAAATTGCAGCTCAATGTATCTTACCTTATACAACAAGTTCAATGAATAAACAGAATTCACTATCGTCAGAGACTATGTTTAACTTGATAACAGGAAGAGCTCACCGAAACTCTGTTTGTTACGCGTTCTGTAAGCATTGCCTTGCCAAAACTGAATATGATATTTACATGCGTGTAGTTTCGATTTGACACCTGCGCCTTCCAGTTGAACATCATTAGACAGTGCGCGTCCAATAGCGGCGGCGCACGAGAGGAGGTGTGTACGCTCTCGCGCCGCCACGCCAGGAACGGATGCCGCGTGCGCATGTTTGCTTTATTTCTGTTACAGGTTTTTTTTTTCCACAATTGATATCCGTTTTATAAGCCAGATATCCTGAATCATAACCAAAAATACATCACCCCCCAAACTAGGCTATGAACACTGTAGGTTTACACCATGTGCTCATGCACTCATTCATACTTCTGGTTTGTACAGTTGATTTAGTAGCTAATTATTATTCTGTGGTTATAGTTTTGATAAATGTGTTATAAGTTTCAGGGAAATATTAGTAATTGAGTAAACGTCTTTGTTAAGATTTAATACAATATAAATGTATGGAATACTAATACAGGCTATTTAATATAAAACACCAGGAATAGTGTCATATAAATATGTCAGCACATTCTAATATATATATATATGTGTTTGTGTGTGTGTGTTTATATAAATGTATATAGTTGGACTTGTGGTACATTTTCCTAACGATAAAAACTAGTTTACAGCACATGCAGTTCCAATTAATGCACAAAAGAGGGCGATGTTCTCCATGAAATGGTTTATCAGCACCCTTTAAACGGTTTTAAATGTTATCTTGACCCTCGCAAGGTTAGATTTAGTGTATTATGTCGAATAGTTTTAGGAAATGGCATATAATATCAATCTGATGGATGTAAGGTACCAATACTTGCCATTATAAGAGCAAAATGTACATGGTAGTGTTTATAAATTTACATTTTCAACAGAAATTATTTTAAAGATTTCATTTTGATGACAATGTTTAAGGCCTGGAAATCACAATTAGAATTTTCCCTGATACATTGAAAAAATTTCTAAAGAATGAAAGAACAAGACAGTATGTGGAAACACAAATGTTTATTTCCTTAAAATATCAGTATGAACTAATGTGACAGCAGTACACCCTACACATACATTCTATTTAACGTCTTTATTTACACTTTTTCCTTCTTATAAAAGTATACAAACTAACATAGAAAGACCTCTCAGTCTGAGGATATAAGACCGGAGAGGGGGAAAAAAGACCCTGACCCCACAAACATGACTGTACCTTCAGATTTAAAAGACCAGAGAATATACTAACATGCATCCATCTTTGATCTCCTCTAAAACCTGTCAATCAGTCCGTGAGATGTCACTTCCTGTGCAGTATGGTGGTAATAAAGGGGTCGTGAGTCAGACATAATACAGTTTTCATGTAGCAACAGATTAGAAACACCAGCTCAATAAAACCAGGGGCTTGTACATAAACACAGAAATGGACATCACATACACTCGAGAGTCTCAGACATGCGTCAACTGCATATGAAACAGCCACATGTGTTCCCATCAAACAACCACACACTCATTCAAAGGCGTTGGTTCATCAAACCAGTTTTAAAGCTATGGGCTGGATTAGCTCTATCGTAATGGATGACCCAGACCACAACTGCTGAATGTACGCAAGAACCTACAAAATCAAACCAGACAGAATGTGATCCGGCATTCTCAAAAAGAGACTATGCTGCATATGTGAGTCCGGACAGCAAGGTGGGATACAATACCTTAGTTCTTCAGTTTTACATCACACAGACACGTGCATACACACAAAAAGTCAAGGCACATTCAAAACACAGAATACGACATGCACACTGCCTCTTGTGTGATTCGCTGCCCTGCGGTTTCTACTGAAGCCGAGTCGATGCATCAGAACGGGAAATATCAAACACAGTGTTTCAAAACAAAGTCTTCTCTGTTAATTAAATGAGCAGTTCCACAGTAATTCAATGAGTTTAGCTAAAACAGAGAAAGAGGCCTGCTCTCTGGGCTAGATGAAACTACAGGCAGAGTGTTACACACACATAATAATAACTGTCAATAGTTGTTTGAAGGCGCATCAAAAGCACTTGAACATATGAGAAATGCCATAAATATATGAATGTCATTGCATTAAATATCAGAATATCAAACTAAGAGGCACTTTAGAACAAAGTAAATGTTAAAGCACAATATATTTTACAAAAACATTTGTTGATAGGTATACTGTTAGGTTTAAAAAAAAAAGTAGGGCTGTCGTTTGATTAAGAATTCATCTAAATGAATTTGATCATGATTTTTCAATGAATTGAGGTAGATACAAGTAATTGTTTCTACCTTCCAAAAGTTTCGGGTCAGTACATTTTATTTATTTATTTACTTATTTATTTATTTTTTTGAAAGAAATGAATACTTAAATTCAACAAAGATGCTTTAAATTGAAAAAGTCACAGTAAAGAAATGTATAATGTTACAAAAGATATCATTTCAAATGCTGTTTCTATTCCTTAAACAATCCTGAAAAATATTGTGTGGTATCAAAATTGTAACAATATTAAGCAGCATAACTGTTTTCACCATTGATAGTTGAGAGAAATGTTTCTTGAACACCAATCAGCATATGTCAATGATTTCTGAAGGATCATGTGACACTGAAGACTGGAGTAATGGCTGCTGGAAATTAAGCTTTGCCATTGCGGAAATAAATTACATTTTAAAATATATTTTAAAAGAAATCACTGATTATATTAAATATATTAACATCTTAAAATGTTAAATATATAAATATTTTAAAATTACTTTAATTCGTTATAATAATAATTCACAATATTACAATTTTTACTGTATTTCTAATAAAATAAAAAGCCTTGGTGAGCATAAGAAAAAGCCCCAAAATGCTTTAAATCAGTTTAAAACTGAAAATATTTGTGCATTAATTTGCAATCATTTTTAGATAACTATTAAAAATAACTAACATTAATCAACAATTATTATACGTTAATAATTAGTCATCATTCATTAATCACATAATTTCCAAATTAACATTAAACTGTCAGCCATATTTTAAAAAACCGCCATGGAAAGTGAAGTTAGTTCTGTGAAAATCTCTACCATCATTTTTCTGCAGATGCCACCAGCTTTGATATTTCATTCTCTAATACAATGACATTCAGACATTTTAAAACTGTTGTTTTCAGTGTTCAAACACTTCTTGTGGCCACTGTATTTTTAAGTCATGGTTCTAGTTAGGGATCACAGTGCATTTTGGGAGCCTGATAAAACGGGCGTGGAGTGATAATGTCATTACTATTACACACCTCAACAACACACATACACACACACACACAGTGGTCATGGGTAGATATGCTGCTTACTAATCTCTATCCCAGCAACAGATCAATAACACACGTTTGTACTGGATGAATCAATGCGCTAAAGCATCAAAAACACTCTCTCACACTAACTGGGGAGTACAAAGGAGCCAAAATGTATTGAATGTATGAAAAGGCACAAGGTATTGCTAATTATATAAAAACATGCGTGAATTACCACTGCCACTGATCTTGACTCGCAGAGAAAGACGTTAAAAAGACAACACGCGATTTATGAGGTCCTTCTCTGCACGCCACTACAGCTTTACAGCCACTTACACAATGATCTGTTAAAAATAGATTTTTTTTTAACAAGTTTTTGATTTGTTGCAACAACCGTGTAAAAACAATGCTTAAAATTAACAGTTTAAAGAAACGAGACAGAGTAAAAGCTCAAGTTATACCACACTCACACACACTCGAACGCCCTCAAATAAGTGCTTTCTTGAGAGATGAAATCAGGTATTTGGATTCATAAGACTGTATAAGTACCTTTCTTCACTGGCATTCAAATAGTGCATATGAAAATCAGTATTTAACTGCATTTGTGATTTTCTGTGGAAGAAAATGTATAAGGTGGGGGGTTTCAAGGGGCCGTGACTCTTGAAGTCACCAAGAGTCAAAGATTCAAAACATGAGAATCAATTTAGAGAGTCAGAATGAAAGATTTAGATAATCATGACAGTCTGATAGCAGCAGGAATGGTTCCCCCTCCCCAGTGGGCGAGGATAAGGGGTTGTGTCGCATAGGACATGCAAAGTTGGCATTGTTACCAGCCAATAAGGTTGGCTTTGGCCTTCTCGGTGAGCTTGCGGACTCTCCCTTTGCTTGACGTGCCGAAAGTAATCGAGGCATCCTCAAACAAAAGCTGTCTTTGCTCTTCCTCAGAGTCCTCTTCGTTATAGAAAGCTGTCCTTCGGCCTTGGTTACGCGTTCTCATCTGCCCTTTCGAGCTCCCATCCTCTTCCATATAAATGTCAGGCTCCTCCCTTTGGGCGGGGCCTGGCGTAGGGGGCGTGGTTTCTTCGTTGCCACGCCGACTGCTCCTTCTGAGAGCTTTGGGGCTTGAAGGAGCTGGGGTATCCGGTGTCCTGATGACTCGTGGTCTACCTCGTGATTTGGGACACTCTGGAGTCACTATCCCTGAATCTGAAAGACTACTGTCCTGGGCTGTAGAAGAAACCCCGCCCTCATCACCAGTAGACAGAAGAAGCTCCTCCTCATGGGATGAGCTTCTTCGTAGGGACTCCAGCTCTTTCTTGCTTTTCCTCCCTCTCTTTTTTCCAGAGGCCTGGGGCAGTGGGGGTGGCGGTACCGCTACTGGCGTTCGTATTTGTGCGTCTAATCTGGGTCGGCCCCGGCCTCTTCGTACCACTCCCAGAGTCACTTGACTATGACCATTCAAATGTAAACTGTTTTGAGGAGAAGAGTCGTGATCGACTGGACATAAGAGAGAATGAGAATATAAGTACAGATGAAACATTCACATATGTGCATTCAACAGATGCTTCTCCTTTTTTTTCAAAGTGACTAATAATGCATTACAAATTTTTTTTAATTAGCATGTGTGTTCCCTGGTAATCAAACCCATGGTAACCCATGGAAAGATCCACAGATTTATATAGACTTCACATAGCTGTAATTCAACACGTCACATCAATTTTTGTAAAGTTATTTCTGACTGATTTTATTATGCTTTTAGCCATGATTAAGTGTGTAATACTCTAATAGCATTTTATCACATCTAAATCTGCAAAATTCTAACGATTATCCCTTAAATAATTATATATAATTAGAAAAATAGGTTAAATCATTTCAGAACGTTTAAATCTATTCTCAGTTCAGTTTAAAATGTTTTACCACATTTAAATCTAGAAAAATCTACAGATTGTCCCCAACATCAGTGCAGAAAAAATATAGATATAATAAAAAAGTAGAAATCAAAACACACACACACACAAAAGTTTAAAACATTACAAACGTTTAAATCTGCAGAAGTAAATTTCAGGGGGAAAAAATTTTCTTTGAGTACTTTGAGTTCAGTTTAACACATGACCATTAACCATAACCATTCAATGATTTTCCCCCAAATCAATGCAGAAAATGAAAAAATAAAAAAAATTCAGGAAAAAAATTATTTTACAGAAGCAATCTCAGCAATTTTAACAATATTTTCTGTTGAAATCAGCAAAAATACACATATTTTCCACAAAACCAGTGTAAAAGAAAGTTTAAAATCCATTTAGGAAAAAGTTTTAATGAGCAGGAAAAAGGTGATTACTTTGAGCCTACAGGAACTACACTGTGTGCACTGAAGGTTTCCAGGAAACATTCAAAAATCCTCTTCCCCGTAATAACATCAGCTTTTCACAACAAATACTTATCATCTGTTACTGACCTGGTGTGAGTTTTACAGGTGTCCGAAGTTTCCTGCGAGACTCTTTGGACCCACCTTCATTTGTGTGGGGAACTGCAGAGCTCTCAGTTTCCCTGGAGGCACCAATGGAGTGAGAGTTCTGTGTGCGCAGGACTCTAGAGGAGGGCTCTGCTGTCTTACTGTGGCTGGGTGGAGGGGGAGGAGCTGACTGTGTAGAAGGTGCATCTGTGAGTTGGGTTCCAAAGCGGGCCGAGCTTCGTGTCCGACCGGGGACAACCGGAGGCTCAGCCTTGCCATTGATCTGTGGATGTGTTTGCCGTAAAGAAGGAGCCCGGGAAGGTCCAGCGGGAGTGGGCGGAGCTGCATTGTCCGATCGAGGAGGAGCACGAGACGAAACCCGACGCTTCCTTTCTGGACTACAAATCAGAAAAGAAGAAAAAGTGTAGGCAACATTTAGAACCAGTGACCAATTCTAGAACATAATGTTCTGCAATGACCAATCAGATACGGTTTGTACCTAGAGGCGGAGCTTGAAGGTGAAGAGCTCCTCCTCCTCTTCACAGACTGTCTGGTCAAACGCTCGGTGTGCTGCCGCTGACGGGGGAATCGCTCACTGTGCAGACTTTGAGCAGCTTTAAAATGGGTCAGGATTAAACTGATATGCTCTTCAAACAGAGCAGACAATCGCAGACTCATGCTGTAGATCTGCATACACAAAAACACACATGTATTAAATAAACTAGATGAACTGGTTCGGCTACAGCATTACAACATGTCTGTTTTTAAAATGAAAATGATCTCATACCCTGGATTTTTTACTGGGTGTATAGGCTTTGGAGTTGCTGAAGATGAGACGTATATCTTTACAAAGATCCACGGGAGTGTTGTACTCTCCTTCTAACAGGCGGTTCAAGACAGTCCCAAAGTCCATAGGAGTGTCCACAATGTCCAAGTAGTCCTGAGAGAGGTATTTTTGATGAACAGGGCATATAAGTAGACAGTGCACTGCAAAAAATTATTTTCTTAATCAGTAATTTTGTTTTGTTTTCCAGTACAAATACCCAAACATTCTTTAAACAAGATTTACACTACCGGTGAATAGGTTGGGGTCTCTTATGCTTACCAAAGCTGCATTTATTTGATAAAAAAAGTAATATTGTGATTTTTTTTAACAATTTAAAATAACTGCTTTCATTTTTTTATATTTTACAATTTAATTGATTCCTGTGATGACAAAGTTGGCATTTCAGCAGACATTACTCCAGTCATCAGTATCACATGATCCTTTGGAAATCATTCTAATATGCTGATTTGGTGCTTAAGAAAAATTTCTTATTATTATCAAGGCTAAAAAAATGACTTTACTGTCACTTTTAATGAATTTAAAGCATCCTTGCTGAATCTTACTGACCCCAAACCTTTAAATGGTAGTTTATATAAAATTATCATAAAAAGATAAGATAAGAAGAGAATATAACGTAAGTTTATTTTTCCTACCCATTTGACAAATTGTTGTTTTTCTGGTTTGTGATTTTGTGACAATCATCTACTTACTTATTTATCTTGATTCAAGCATGTATAGGTATTTTTACTGGAAAATAAGACAAAACATAATTTAAAAAAGATTTCTGCAGTGTGTGTGTGTGTATATATGCTGTGTATATGTGTAGC